CAGTGACAATGGTGATAACAGTGACAACGGAGACAACGGTGACTACGGTGACGACAGCGACAATGGTGATAACAGTAACAACGGTGACAACAGTGACAAGGGTGACAACAGTGACAACAGTGACAACGGTGACAACAGTGACAAGAGCGAAAACGGTGAAGAAAGTGACATCGGTGAGAACAGCGAGAACGGTGACAACAGCGACAACAGTGACAATGGTGACAACGGTACAACAGTAACAACAGTCACAACAGTGACAACCGTAACAACAGTGACAACGGTGACAATGCAGACATCATAGACAATGGTGACAACCGTCACAAAAGTGACAACAGTGAAAACAGTGACAAGAGCGACAACGGTGACAACAGTGACAACGGTGACAAGGGTGACAACCGTGACAACAGTGACAACGGTGACAACAGTAAGAACGATGACAACAGTGACAACGGTAATAACAGTGACAACAGTGACAACAGCGAGAACGGTGACAATAGTGACAATGGTCACAACAGTGACAGTGACAACGATGGCAACACCAACAATGGTGACAACAGTGACAACAGCGACAACAGTGAAAACAGTGACAACGGTGACAACAGTAACAACGGTGACTACAGTGACAACAGTGACAACAGTAACAACGATGAGAACAGTGACAACGGTAATAACAGTGACAACAGTCAGAACGGTGACAACAGTGACAAGGGTCACAACAGTGAAAACGATGACAACAGCGACAATGGTGACAACAATGACAACAGCGACAACGGTGACTACAGTGACAATGGTGATAACAGTGACAACGGAGACAACAGCGAGGACAATGACAACGGTGACAACAGCGACAACACCAACAACGGTGACAACGATGACAACAGTGACAACAGTCACAACGGTGACAACGGTAACAACGGTGACCACATTGAGAACAGTGACAACGGTGACAACAGTGAGAACAGCGACAACGGTAACAACAGCGGCAAAGGTGACAACAGTGACAATGGTGAATACAGTGACAACGGTGACAACGGTGACAATAGCGACAACAGTGACAACAGTGACATTAGTGACAACGGTGACAACAGTGACAACGGTGATAACGGTTACAACTTTGACTACAGTGACAACAGTGATAACGTTGACAATAGTGACAACGGTGAGAACACCGACCATGGTGAGAATGGTGAAAACGGTGACAAGAGTATCAACAGTGAGAATGGTGACAACACCGACAACGGTGACAACCTCGACAACAGTGACAACAGTGACAACGGTAACAACGGTAACAATGGTGACAACAGTGACAACCGTGATAACAGTGACAACAGTGATAACAGTGACAACGGTGACAACGGCGACAACAGTGACATTGGTGACATTGGTGACAACGGTGACAACAGTGATAACGGTGAACACAGCGACAACCGTGACAACGGTTACAACAATGACAACGATGATAACGGTGACAACAGTGAAAAGAGCGACAACGGTGAAGAAACTGACAATGGTGACAACACCGAGAACAAAGACAATGGCGACAATAGTGAACACGGTGAAAACGGTACAACAGTAAAAAACGGTTACAACAACGACATCCGTGACAACAGCGACAATAGTAAGAACAGTGACAACGGAGACAACCATGACAACAGCGACAGCGGTGACAACAATGACGACAGTGACAACAGTACAACAGTGACAACGGTTACACCCGTACGAAACTGGCAGCGCTGGACAGCGCCACAAAATCGCTTTAAAATAGCTGTACAGCTAAATTACAGCTGTTTAGCAGCGTTTTAGAAGCCAAACAGCAGCTTAATTCAAGTTGCAGCGGGATGCAAAAGCGCTGTGCAGCCTTTGAAGCTCTCGGTAGCGGTTTTGCAGCGCAGTTGCCGACTTTCAAAAGATGCGAAGTAGCTGCAGTAACGCTACAATTCAGCTGCGCTCGATCTGATAGCACAACGTTCTTGAGATAACATGAATCGCCAGAAAAGCCTTGCCACAGATTACGGCTTTTATAACGAGAAAACTTTGACTGTACCTCTAAGAAATGTGAGTAAGCTTGTGCGCAAGGAAGATCACTTATTGAAGAAACCTTCAAATTCTATGCTTTCAATAAATTTCATTCCGTGACTGGTGAGTGTGGGAGTGTTATCGCTAATTCCCTGGAGACATTCTAGGCTGTAATCTAATTGGTCGGCACTTTTGCATAAGATCCCATTACATCTCTAGACAAACATTTGTGACCGTTGAATGAAAGGCGCAAACATTCATACAAATTTGTAAGTGTTTTGCATCTAGTTCTGTTGATGTTTTGGATGGAACAGCTCAAAGGTATTTGTAAACAACGGCACTGTACGGTGAATTCTACGCGAAGTGCCGACGAATCGAACCAGAGCAAGCAACACAGATGCCAGAATCTTCGCTGGGGTACGAATGCATTTACAAGATTCAAACGTTCAACGATAATGTACGTTCCTTAGTCCATTGTAAAATTTAACGACGACCAAAGTAAGATTTGGTTGATTTCTTTCACGAAAAAGTGTAGCAGATCGTCGATCATGGACAAAACGTCAAGGTGAGCGATGTCAGGCTTAACGTGTTGCAACGAATCAAAATATCATTTGGCTGTTGTCCGGTGTAAACTTTATGTAGAACAGTCGCTGTTATTCTCTTTATTTTTTTAAAAAGATAAACTTCAATGTCTGCAGGTTAATGGCAGTTCTTACATTTAGATGAGTGACCATGACTGCTCAATATTTACAAAGCGAGACTGTTGCAGATTTGTTATGTCACTTGCTTTTGTAACGTGTACGCGTGGATACTAATAAAGTGTCAGTTGCATTTTGACTTTCTAGTGGTTTTTACTCCTCCTAAGGCCTTGTCACCTTCTCTACCATGTTTCGTGGTTATTGTATTATTGAAGTCTGAATTTCTTTTTTTGTGTACTAACGAGTAGTAGGACATTACCGGGAACAACATTCTTTGTCTTAAAATTCAAAGCCACTTTGCACCCACTTTGCAGCGCAGATCGTGATTCGGGAATTTTCTGCACCGCTGCAACAGCGCTGTTTATCGCTGTCAAAGGGCTTTCCCTGCAGCGCGAAACACCCATTTTTTGCTCCTGCTGCAGCGCTGCAGAATGACTTCAAGAAGCGCTACAAAAGAGCTGCAAAAGGGCTGCTCGTTTCGTACGGCCAACAGCGACAACCGTGACAACAGTGACAACGGTGACAACAATGACAACGTTGACAGCGGAGACAACATCGACCATGATGACAACCGTGACAACAGTAAAACCGGTGACAATAGTGACAAGAGCCACAAAGGTGAAGACAGTGACAATGGTGACAACACCGACAACGGTGCCAACGGCGACAACGGTGAGAACAGTGTCAACAGTGACAACGGTGACAACACCGACAACCGTGACAACGGGCACAACGGTGACAACAGTAACAATGGTGACAATGGTAACAATGGTGACAACAGTGACAACAGTGATAACAGTGACAAAATTGACAACGGTGACAATGGTAAAAACAGTTGCAACGGTTAAAACAGTGACAATGGACACAACAGTGACAACGATGAAAACACCGACAACGGTGACAACGGTGACAACAGTAAAAACGGTGAAAACGGTAAATAAGGACACAAAAGCGACAACGATGACAACAGTGACAACGGTGACAACACTGACAACAGTGACAATGGTCACAACAGTGACAAAGATGACAAAACCGACAACGGAGACAACGGTGACAACAGTAAAAACGGTGCAACAGTGACCAGAGTACAAGAGTGACAACGGTCAAAACAGCGACCACCATAAAAACAATGGCAACGGTGACATCAGTGAGAACAGTGACAACGGTGACTACAATGAGAACAGTGAAAACAGTGATAACAGTGACAATGGAGACAACAGTGACAACGGTTACAACAGTGAGAACAGCGACAACGGTGACAATGGTGACAACGGTGACAACACTGACAACAGTGACAACAGTACAACAGTGACAACGGTCAAACCGGCAACCACCATGAAAACAATAGCAATGGTCACATCAGTGACAAGAGTGACAACAGTGACAACAATGACGATCGTAACAACGGTGACACCAGTGACAACAGTGACAACGGTGACAACAGTGACAATAGCGACGACGGTAACAACGGTGACAACGGTGACAACGGTAACAACGGTGACAACAGTGACAAGAGTGAGAACGGTGACAATGGTGACAACGATGACAACGGTGACAACGATGACAACGGTGAGAACGGTGACATTGGTGACAACAGTGACAATGGTGACAATGGTGACAATGGTGACAACAGTGACAATGGTGACAAAGGTGACAACAGTGACAACAAGGTGACAACGGTGACGGTGGTGAAAACAGTGACAATGGTGACAACGGTGACAATGGTGACAACGGTGACAACGGTGACAATGGTGACAAGAGTGACAACGGTGACAATGGTGACAATGGTGACAACGGTGACAACGGTGACAAAAGTGACAACAGTGACAACAGTGACAACAGTGACAACAGTGACAACGGTGACAACGGTGACAACGGTGACAACAGTGTGGTGACAACGGTGACAATGGTGACAATGGTGACAATGGTGACAATGGTGACAACGGTGACAATGGTGACAACAGGGACAACGGTGACAACAGTGACAAAGGTGACAACGGTGACAACAGTGACAACGGTGACAACGGTGACAACAGTGACAATGGTGACAATGGTGACATCAGTGACAACAGTGACAATGGTGACAATGATGACAACAGTGACACTGGTGACAATGGTGACAACAGTGACAACAGTGACAACGGTGACAACAGTGACAACAGTAACAAAGGTGACAACGGTGACAACAGTGACAATGGTGACAATAGTGACGACAGTGACAAGGGTGACAACAGTGACAACAGTGACAATGGTGACAATGGTGACAACAGTGACAACGGTGACAATAGTGACAACAGTGACAACAGTGACAACGGTGACAACAGTGACAAAGGTGACAACGGTGACAACAGTGACAATGGTGACAATCGTAAAAATGGTGACAGTGGTGACATCAGTGACAACAGTGACAAGGGTGACAACAGTGACAATGGTGGCAATGATGACAACAGTGACAACATTGACAATGGTGACAACAGTGACAACAGTGACAACGGTGACAACGGTGACAACAGTGACAACGTTGACAACGGTGACAACAGTGACAATGGTAAAAACGGTGACAATGGTGACAACGGTGACAACGGTGATAACAGTGACAATGGAGACAACAGTGACAACGGTGACAATGACAACGGTGATAACAGTGACAATGGAGACAACACTGACAACGGTGACAACGGTGACAACAGTGACAACAGTGACAACAGTGAGAATGCTGACAACAGTAACAATGGTGACAACAGTAACAATGGTGACAACAGTGACAACGGTGATAACAGTAACAACAGTGAAAATGGGGACGATGGTGACAACGGTGACAAAGTGACAACGGTGACAACAGTGACGATGGTGACAATGGTGACAACAGTAACAATGGTGACAACAGTGACAACGGTGATAACAGTAACAACAGTGAAAATGGGGACGATGGTGACAACGGTGACAAAGTGACAACGGTGACAACAGTGACGATGGTGACAATGGTGGCAACAGTGACAATGTTGATAATGGTGACAACACTGACAATGGTGCCAATGGTGACAACAGTGACAATGGTGACAATGGTGACAACAGTGACAACGGTGACAACAGTTGCAATGGTGAAAACGGTGACAACAGTGACAATGGTGACAAGAGTGACAACGATGATAACAGTAACAACAGTGACAATGGGGAAGATGGTGACAACGGTGACAGTGACAACGGAGACAACAGTGACGATGGTAACAATGGTGAAAACAGTGACAATGGTGACAATGGTGACAACAGTGACAACTGTGACAATGGTGACAACAGTGACAACGATGACAACAGTGACAATGGTGACAACGGTGACAACAGTGACAATGGTGACAACAGTGACAACGGTGACAATGGTGACAACAGTGACAACGGTGACAACAGTGACAATGGTGACAATGGTGACAACAGTGACAACGGTGACAAAGGTGACAACAGTGACAACGGTGACAAAAGTGACAATGGTGACAACAGTGACAGTAATGACAACACCAAGAATGGTGACAACAGTGACAACGGTGACAAATGTGACAACAGCGACAATGGTGACAACAGTGACAACGGAGACAAGGGTGACTACTGTGACAACAGTGAAAACGGTGACAACACTGACAATGGTGACAACAGTGAGAACGGTAATAATAGTTATAACGGAGATAACAGTGAGAACCGTAACATTAGTGACAACGGTGCCAACGGTGACAACAGTGACAATGGTGACAATGGTGACAATGGTGACAACAGTGACAGCGGTGACAACAGTGACAATGGTGACAATGGTGAAAACAGTGACAACAGTGATAACGGTGACAACAGTGACAATGGTCACAACGGTGACAACAATGACAACACCGAGACTGGTAACAAAAGTGAGAACAGTGAAAACTGTGACAACGGTGACAAAGGTGATAACAGTGACAACAGTGACTACTGTGACAACAGCGACAACACCGACAACGGTGACAACATTGCCAACAGTGACAACGGTGAGAATGGTAACAACGGTGAAAACAGTGACAACAGTGACAACGGTGAAAACGATGACAACGGTGACAACAGTGACAATGGTGACAACGGTGACAACAGTGAGAATGGTGACAACAGTGACAACGTTGAGAATAGTGACGACAGTGACAACGGTGACAACAGTGATAATGGTGACAATGGTGACAACAGTGAAGACGGTGACAAAACTGACAATGGTGACAACAGTGACAACAATGACAACACCGAGAATGGTGACAACAGTGACAACAGCAACAACGGTGACAATTGTGACAACGGTGACAACAGTGACAACGGAAACAACAGAAACTACAGTGACAACGGTGATAACAGTGACAACGGAGACAACAGTGTCAACGGTGACAACAGAAACAACACTGACAACGGTGACAACGGTGACTACAGTGACAATGGTGAGAACACTAACAATGGTGACACAGTGACAACGGGGACAACGGTGACAACAGTGACAATGGTGACAATGGTGACAATGGTGACAATGGTGACAACAGTGACACTGGTGACACCAGGGACAAAGGTCACAAGAGTAACATTGATGACAACACCGAGATGGTGACAAGAGTTACAACAGCGATGACGGTGACAACAGTGACAACGGTGACAACAGTGACAACGGTGACAAAGGTGATAACAGTGACAACGGTGACTGCAATGACAATAGCGACAACGCCGACAACGGTGACAACATTGACAACAGTGAGAACGGTAAGAATGGTAATAACGGTGAAAACAGTGATAACAGTGACAGCGGTGAAAACGATGACAACACCGAGAATAGTGACAACAGTGAGCAGAGCGACAACAGTGACAACGGTGAAAACGGTGACAACAGTGACAACAGTGACAACGGTGACAACAGTGACACTGGTGACAATGGTGACAATGGTGACAACAGTGACAACGGTGACAACGGTGACAACAGTGACAACGTGATAATAGTGACAACGGTGACAACAGTGACAACGGTGACAACGGTGACAACAGTCACCACGGAGACAACGGTGACTACGGTGACAACAGTGAAAATGGTGACAACAGTGACAACGGTAATAATGGAAACTACAGTGACAACGGTGATAACAGTGACAACGGAGACAACAGTGACAACAGTGACAACAGCAACAACACTGACAACGGTGACAACGGTGACAACAGTGAAAACAGTGACAATGCTGAGAACACTAACAATGGTGACAACAGTGACAACGGTGATAACAGTAACAACAGTGATAATGGTGACGATGGTGAGAATTGTGACACTGGTGACAATGGTGACAACAGTGACAACAGTGACAACGGTGACAACAGTGACAATGGTGACAACACTCGTGAAAACGATGACAGTGGTGACATCAGTGACAACAGTGACAAGGGTGACAACAGTGACAGTGACAACAGTGACAACGGTGACAACAGGTGACAACGGTGACAACGGTGACAACAGTGACAACGGTGACAATGGTGACAACGGTGACAACAGTGACAAGGGTGGTGACAATGGTGACAATGGTGACAACGGTGACAACAGTGACAACAGTGACAATGGTGACAACAGTGACAACAACGGTGACAACAGTGACAACAGTGACAACAGTGACAAAGGTGACAACGGTGACAACGGTGACAATGGTGACAACAGTGACAACGGTGACAATGGTGACATCAGTGACAACAGTGACAACAATGGTGACAACAGTGACAATGGTGGCAATGGTGACAACAGTGACATGGTGACAATGGTGACAAACAGTGACAACAGTGACAACAGTGACAACGGTGACAACGGTGACAACGGTGACAAAGTGGTGACAACAGTGACAAAGGTGACAACGGTGACAATGGTGACAATGGTGACACAGTGACAATGGTGACAACAGTGACAACAGTGACAAGGGTGACAACGGTGACAACAGTGAACGGTGACAACGGTGTGACAATGGTGACAATGGTGACAATGGTGACAATGGTGACAACAGTGACAATGGTGACAACGGTGACAACAGTGACAATGGTGACAATGGTGACAACAGTGACAATGGTGACAATGACAAGTGACAATGGTGACAATGGTGACAATGGTGACAACAGTGACAACAATGGTGACAATGGTGACGGTGACAAAGTGACAATGGTGACAACGGTGACAATGGTGACAAATAGTGACAATGGTGACAAATGGTGACAACAGTGACAAGGGTGACAACAGTGACAACGGTGACAACAGTGACAACAGTGACAAGGGTGACAACAGTGACAACGGTGACAACAGTGACAATGGTGACAATGGTGACAACAGTGACAACAGTGACAACGGTGACAACAGTGACAAAGGTGACAATGGTGACAACAGTGACAATGGTGACAATAGTGACAATGGTGACAATAGTGACAATGGTGACAACGGTGACAATGGTGACAATGGTGACAACAGTGACAAATGGTGACAACAGTGACAACAGTGACAATGGTGACAATGGTGACAATGGTGACAGTGGTGACAAGTGACAAGGTGACAACAGTGACAATGGTGACAATGGTGTGACAACAGTGACAATGGTGACAACGGTGACAATGGTGACAATGGTGACAATGGTGACATGGTGACAATGGTGACAATGGTGACAATGGTGACAACAGTGACAACGGTGACAACAGTGACAACGGTGACAACAACGGTGACAACGGTGACAACGGTGACAACGGTGACAATGGTGACAATGGTGACAATGGTGACAATGGTGACAATGGTGACAACAGTGACAATGGACAACGGTTACAATGGTGACAACAGTGACAACAGTGACAATGGTGACAATGGTGACAATGGTGACAATGGTGACAATGGTGACAATGGTGACAATGGTGACAATGGTGACAATGGTGACATGGTGACAACAGTGACAACGGTGACAACGGTGACAACGGTGACAACAGTGACAACGGTGACAACAGTGACAACGGTGACAACGGTGACAATGGTGACAACAGTGACAATGGTGACAACAGTGACAAACGGTGACAACAGTGGTGACAAGTGACAATGGTGACAACAGTGACAACGGTGACAACGGTGACAACAGTGACAATGGTGACAACGGTGGTGACAATGGTGACAATGGTGACAATGTGACAATGGTGACAACGGTGACAACAGTGACAACGGTGACAACGGTGACAATGGTGACAATGGTGACAATGGTGACAATGGTGACAATGGTGACAATGGTGACAATGGTGACAATGGTGACAGTGACAACAGTGACAATGGTGACAATGGTGACAACAGTGACAATGGTGACAACAGTGACAATGGTGACAATGGTGACAATGGTGACAACAGTGACAACAGTGACAATGGTGACAACAGTGACAATGGTGGTGGTGACAATGGTGACAATGGTGGTGACAATGGTGACAATGGTGACAATGGTGACAACAGTGACAACGGTGACAACAGTGACAACAGTGACAATGGTGACAATGGTGACAATGGTGACAATGGTGACAACAGTGACAATGGTGACAATGGTGACAATGGTGACAATGGTGACAATGGTGACAATGGTGACAACAGTGACAACGGTGACAACAGTGACAAAGGTGACAAACAGTGACAATGGTGACAACAGTGACAAGTGACAATGGTGACAACAGTGACAACAGTGACAATGGTGACAATGGTGACAATGGTGACAACAGTGACAATGGTGACAACGGTGGTGACAATGGTGACAATGGTGACAATGGTGACATGGTGAGTGACAACAGTGACAATGGTGACAACATGGTGACAACGGTGACAACAGTGACAATGGTGACAATGGTGACAACGGTGACAATGGTGACAATGGTGACAATGGTGACAACAGTGACAATGGTGACAATGGTGACAACAGTGACAACGGTGACAACAGTGACAATGGTGACAATGGTGACAATGGTGACAATGGTGACAATGGTGACAATGGTGACAATGGTGACAACAGTAACATTGGTGACAACAGTGACAATGTTGACAAGGTGACAACAGTGACAACGGTGACAATGGTGACAACAGTGACAACGGTGACAACAGTGACAACGGTGACAACGGTGACAAAAGGTGACAACGGTGACAATGGTGACAACGGTGACAACAGTGACAACGGTGACAACGGTGACAACGGTGACAACGGTGACAACGGTGACAATGGTGACAACGGTGACAATGGTGACAATGGTGACAACGGTGACAACAGTGACAACAGTGACAAGGGTGACAAATGGTGACAATGGTGACAACAGTGACAACAGTGAGCAGAGTGACAACAGTGACAACGGTGACAACGGTGACAACAGTGACAACAGTGACAATGGTGACAACAGTGACAACAGTGACAACAGTGACAACGGTGACACATGGTGACAACAGTGACAATGGTGAGTGACAACAGTGACAACGGTGACAGCAGCGACAAAAGTGAAAATAGTGACAGCAGTGACAACGGTGACAACAGTGACAATGGTGACAATGGTGACAATGGTGACAACGGTGACAACAGTGACAACAGTGACAACGGTGACAACAGTGACAACTGTGACAGCAGTGACAACAGTGACAACAGTGACAACGGTGACAACAGTGACAACGGTGACAATGGTGACAATGGTGACAACAGGTGTGAACAGTGACAACAGTGACAACAGTGACAATGGTGACAACAGTGACAATGGTGACAACGGTGACAACAGTGACAACGGTGACAATGGTGACAACAGTGACAACGGTGACAACAGTGACAATGGTGACAACGGTGACAACAGTGACAATGGTGACAACAGTGACAACAGTGACAATGGTGACAACAGTGACAACGGTGACAACAGTGACAATGGTGACAATGGTGACAACAGTGACAACGGTGACAATGGTGACAACAGTGACAACGGTGACAACAGTGACAATGGTGACAACAGTGACAATGGGTGACAACGGTGACAATGGTGACAGTGACAACGGTGACAACGGTGACAATGGTGACAACAGTGACAACAGTGACAACGGTGACAACGGTGACAACGGTGACAACAGTGACAATGGTGACAACGGTGACAATGGTGACAACAATGGTGACAATGGTGGTGACAACGGTGACAATGGTGACAACGGTGACAACGGTGACAACGGTGACAATGGTGACAATGGTGACAATGGTGACAACGGTGACAATGGTGACAACAGTGACAACGGTGACAATGGTGACAATGGTGGTGACAATGGTGACAATGGTGACAACAGTGACAATGGTGACAATGGTGACAATGGTGACAACAGTGTGGTGACAAAGTGACAACAGTGACAATGGTGGTGACAATGGTGACAATGGTGTGACAACAGTGACAATGGTGACAACAGTGACAATGGTGACAATGGTGACAACGGTGACAATGGTGACAATAGTGACAACAGTGACAATGGTGACAACAGTGACAACAGTGACAACAGTGACAACGGTGACAACAGTGACAATGGTGACAACGGTGACAATGGTGACAATGGTGACAATGGTGACAATGGTGACAATGGTGACAATGGTGACATGGTGGTGAGTGACAACGGTGACAACAGTGACAACGGTGACAACAGTGACAATGGTGACAATGGTGACAACAGTGACAATGGTGACAATGGTGTGGTGACAACGGTGACAATGGTGACAACAGTGACAACGGTGACAACAGTGACAATGGTGACAATGGTGACAACGGTGACAACAGTGACAAAGGTGACAACGGTGACACGGGTGACAACAATGGTGACAATGGTGACAATGGTGACAATGGTGACAATGGTGACAACAGTGACAATGGTGACAAGTGGTGACAGTGACAACGGTGACAATGGTGACAATGGTGACAATGGTGACAACAGTGACAATGGTGACAATGGTGACAACAGTGACAACAGTGACAAAGTGACAATGGTGACAACAGTGACAATGGTGACAATGGTGACAATGGTGACAATGGTGACAATGGTGACAATGGTGACAATGGTGACAATGGTGACAACAGTGACAACAGTGACAATGGTGACAACGGTGACAATGGTGACAATGGTGACAATGGTGACAATGGTGACAACAATGGTGACAATGGTGACAATGGTGACAATGGTGACAACAGTGACAATGGGTGACAGTGGTGACAATGGTGACAATGGTGACAATGGTGACAATGGTGACAATGGTGACAACAGTGACAATGGTGACAACGGTGACAATGGTGACAATGGTGACAACAGTGACAATGGTGACAACAGTGACAACAGTGACAATGGTGACAATGGTGACAACAGTGATAACAGTGACAATGGTGACAATGGTGACAACAGTGACAACAGTGACAATGGTGACAATGATGACAATGGTGACAACAGTGACAACGGTGACAATGGTGACAACAGTGACAATGGTGACATGGTGGTGACAACAGTGACAAAGTGGTGACAACGGTGACAACGGTGACAATGGTGACAATGGGTGACAAAGTGACAATGGTGACAATGGTGACAACAGTGACAACAGTGACAGTGGTGACAACAGTGACAATGGTGACAACGGTGACAATGGTGACAACGGTGACAATGGTGACAATGGTGACAATGGTGACAAAGTGACAAGTGACAATGGTGACAATGGTGACAACAGTGACAATGGTGAGTGACAATGGTGACAACGGTGACAACAGTGTGACAACAGTGACAATGGTGACAATGGTGACAATGGTGACAATGGTGACAACGGGTGACAACAGTGACAATGGTGACAACGGTGACAACAGTGACAACAGTGACAATGGTGACAACAGTGACAACAGTGACAATGGTGACGGTGACAACGGTGACAATGGTGACAACAGGTGACAACAGTGACAATAGTGACAAGAGTGAGAAGAGTGACAACGGTGACAATGGTGACAACAGTTAAAACGGTGACAACGGTGACAACACTGACAACAGTGAAAACGGTGACTACAGTGACAACGGTGGTGACAACGGTGACAACAGTGACAACAGGGACAACGGTGACAACGGTGACAACAGTGACAACGGAGACAACGGTGACAAGTGACAAGAGTGAGAAGAGTGACAACGGTGACAACAGTGACAATGGTGACAACACTGTTAACATTGAGGACGGTGACAACAGTGACAACAGTCAGAATGGTAACAATGGTGAGAACGGTGACAACAGTGACAACAGTGATATTGGTAACAACAGTGACAATGGTGACAATGGTGACAACAGTGACCATGGTAACAATGGTGACAACGGTGACAATGGTGACTATATTGACATTAGTGACAATGGTGACAACGGTGACAACGGCAACAACAGTGACAAGGGTGACAACGGTGACAACGGTGTCAACAGTAACAACAGTGACAACAGTTTCAAAGGTGACAATGGTGACAACAGTGACAACAGTGAGGACCGTGACAACAGTGACAACGGTGACAATGGTAACAATGGTGACAACGGTGACAATGGTGACATCGGTGATAACAGTGACAACACTGAGATTGGTGACAACAGTGACAACGGTGACAATGGTGACAATGGTGACAACAGTGACAACAGTGACAATGGTGATGGTGGTGACAACAGACAACAGTGACAACAGTGACAATGGTGACAACAGTGACAACGGTGACAACGGTGACAACGGTGACAACGGTGACAAATGGTGACAATGGTGACAACGGTGACAATGGTGACAATGGTGACAATGGTGACAATGGTGACAATGGTGACATGGTGACAACGGTGACAACAGTGACAACGGTGACAATGGTGACAACGGTGACAATGGTGACAACGGTGGTGACAACGGTGACAATGGTGACAATGGTGACAACAGTGACAATGGTGACAACAGTGACAACAGTGACAATGGTGACAACAGTGACAACGGGTGACAATGGTGACAATGGTGACAATGGTGACAATGGTGACAATGGTGACAATGGTGACAATGGTGACAACAATGGTGACAATGGTGACAACAGTGACAACGGTGACAACGGTGACAACGGTGACAACAGTGTGATGGTGACAATGGTGACAATGGTGACAATGGTGAGTGACAATGGTGACAACAGTGACAACGGTGACAATGGTGACAATGGTGACAACGGTGACAATGGTGACAACAGTGACAATGGTGACAACAGTGACAATGGTGACACCAGTGACAATGGTGACAATGGTGACAAGAGGTGACAATGGTGATGACAACAGCGAGATGACAAGTGACAACAGTGACAACAGGGACGACAGTGACAACGACGAGAACAGTGACAACAGTGATAACGGTGACAAGTGACAACGGTGACAATGGTGTAATAGTGATAACAGTGACCACAGTGACAACAGTGACAACGGTGACAACAGTGACAAGTGACAACGGTGACAAGTGACAACAGTGACAATGGTGACAACAGTGACAACGGTGACAACGGTGAAAACAGTGACAACAGTGACGAGGGTGACAACGATGACAACACTGACAATAGTGACAACAGTGAGCAGAGCGACAACAGTGACAACGGTGAAAACGGTGACAACAGTGACAACAGTGACAACGGTGATAATAGTGACAAAGGTGACAACTGTGACAACAGTGACAATGCTGACAATAGTGACAACAGTGACAAGGGTGACAACAGTGACAACGGTGACAATAGTGACAACGGTGACAATGGTGACAATAGTGACAACGGTGACAACAGTGTCAACGGTGACAACAGTGACAACAGTGACAACGGTGACAACAGCAACAACGGTGACAATGGTGACAATGGTGACAACAGTGACAACAGTGACAACAATGTGAACACTAACAATGGTGACAACAGTGACAACGGTGATAACAGTAACAACAGTGAAAATGGGGACGATGGTGACAACGGTGACAAAGTGACAACGGTGACAACAGTGACGATGGTGACAATGGTGACAATGGTGACATGGTGACAACAGTGACAACGGTGACAACAGTGACGGTGACAACAGTGACAACAGTGACAATGGTGACAACGGTGACAACGGTGACAATGGTGACAACAGTGACAATGGTGACAATGGTGACAACAGTGACAACAGTGACAAGGGTGACAACACGGTGACAACGGTGACAGTGACAATGGTGACAACAGTGACAATGGTGACAATGGTGACAATGGTGACAACAGTGACAACAGTGACACTGGTGACAACAGTGACAACAGTGACAACAGTGACAATGGTGACAACGGTGACATGGTGACAAGTGACAACAGTGACAACAGTGACAATGGTGACAACGGTGACAAATGGTGACAACAGTGACAAATGGTGACAATGGTGACAATGGTGACAATGGTGACAAGGGTGACAATGGTGACAACGGTGACAATGGTGACAATGGTGACAATGGTGACAATGGTGACAATGGTGACAATGGTGACAATGGTGACAGTGAAATGGTGACAACGGTGACAACAGTGACAACAGTGACAACGGTGACAATGGTGACAATGGTGACAATGGTGACAATGGTGACAATGGTGACAATGGTGACAATGGTGACAATGGTGACAACAGTGACAACAGTGACAGTGACAATGGTGACAATGGTGACAACAAGTGACAACAGTGACAACAGTGACAACGGTGACAACAGTGACAATGGTGACAATGGTGACAACAGTGACAATGGTGACAATGGTGACAAACGGTGACAACAGTGGTGACAATGGTGACAACAGTGACAATGGTGACAACAGTGACAATGGTGACAACGGTGACAACGGTGAACAGTGACAACAGTGACGGTGACAATGGTGACAATGGTGACAATGGTGACAACGGTGACAATGGTGACAACGGTGTGACAACGGTGACAAAGTGACAATGGTGACAACAGTGACAACGGTGACAACAGACAACAATGGTGACAAGTGGTGACAACGGTGACAACGGTGACAACGGTGACAACGGTGACAATGGTGACAACAGTGACAATGGTGACAATGGTGACAATGGTGACAACAACAACAGTGACAATGGGTGGTGACAACAGTGACAATGGTGACAATGGTGACAACAGTGACAATGGTGACAATGGTGACAATGGTGACAACAGTGACAACAGTGACAATGGTGACAATGGTGACAGTGACAACAGTGACAACAGTGACAATGGTGACAATGGTGACAACAGTGACAATGGTGACAATGGTGACAAAGTGACAATGGTGACAATGGTGAACAGGTGACAACAGTGACAACGGTGACAATGGTGACAATGGTGACAACAGTGACAATGGTGACAATGGTGACAACAGTGACAATGGGTGACAACAGTGAGTGACAACGGTGACAACAGTGACAACGGTGACAACAGTGACAAAGGTGACAACAATGGTGACAACAATGGTGACAATGGTGACAAATGGTGACAATGGTGACAATGGTGATGGTGACAGTGACAACAGTGACAAGGGTGACAACAGTGACAATGGTGACAAATGACAACAGTGACAATGGTGACAATGGTGACAAAGTGGTGACAATGGTGACAACAGTGGTGACAACAGTGACAACAGTGACAAATGGTGACAAGGGTGACAACAGTGACAACGGTGACAACGGTGACAATGGTGACAATGGTGACAATGGTGACAATGGTGACAACAGTGACAATGGTGACAATGGTGACAATGGTGACAACAGTGACAATGGTGACAACGGTGACAACAGTGACATGGTGGTGACAATGGTGACAATGGTGACAATGGTGACAACAGTGACAATGGTGACAACAGTGACAAAGTGACAATGGTGACAATGGTGACAACGGTGACAACAGTGACAATGGTGACAACGGTGACAACAGTGACAACGGTGACAATGGTGACAATGGTGACAATGGTGACAATGGTGACAATGGTGACAACAGTGACAACGGTGACAATGGTGACAACAGTGACAATGGTGACAATGGTGACAATGGTGACAATGGTGATGGTGACAATGGTGACACTGGTGACAATGGGGACAATGGTGACAACAGTGACAATGATGACAACGGTGACAACAGTGACAATGGTGACAAGAGTTACAACAGCGACGACGGTGACAACAGTGACAACGGTGACAACAGTGACAACGGTGACAAAGGTGATAACAGTGACAACGGTGACTACAGTGACAATAGCGACAACGCCGACAACGGTGACAACATTGACAACAGTGACAACGGTAAGAATGGTAATTACGGTGAAAACAGTGACAACAGTGACGAGGGTGACAACGATGACAACACCGACAATAGTGACAACAGTGAGCAGAGCGACAACAGTGACAACGGTGAAAACGGTGACAACAGTGACAACAGTGACAACGGTGATAATAGTGACAACGGAGACAACAGTGACAACGGTGACAATGGTGACAACAGTCACGAGACAACGGTGGCTACGGTGACAACAGTGACAACGGTAACAATGGAAACTACAGTGACAACGGTGATAACAGTGACAACGGAGACAACAGTGACAACGGTGACAACAGCAACAACACTGACAACGGTGACAATGGTGAGAACAGTGACAACAGTGACAATGCTGTGAACACTAACAATGGTGACAACAGTGACAACGGTGATAACAGTAACAACAGTGATAACGGTGACGATGGTGAGAATGGTGACACAAAGACAACGGTGACAACAGTGACACTGGTGACAATGGTGACAACAGTGACAACAGTGACAACGGTGACAACAGTGACAACAGTGACAACGGTGACAACAGTGACAAAGGTGACAACGGTGACAACAGTGACAATGGTGACAATGGTGACAATGGTGACAACAGTGAAAATGGTGACAACAGTGACAACAGTGACAACAGTGACAACGGTGACAACAGTGACAATGGTGACAATGGTGACAACAGTGACAACTGTGACAACGGTGACAACAGTGACAACAGTGACAACGGTGACAACAGTGACAAAGGTGACAACGGTGACAACAGTGACAATGGTGACAACGGTGACAATGGTGACAACAGTGACAATGGTGACAATGGTGACAACAGTGACAATGGTGACAATAGTGACAACAGTGACAACAGTGACAACGGTGACAACAGTGACAACAGTGACAATGGTGACAACGGTGACAACGGTGACAATGGTGACAACGGTGTGGTGACAAATGGTGACAACGGTGACAATGGTGACAATGGTGACAATGGTGACAACAGTGACAATGGTGACAACAGTGACAACGGTGACAATGGTGACAACAGTGACAACGGTGTGACAACAGTGA